ATATCAACTGTTCCATGCAGCATGGTCACGACATCGTAATTGGCTGAAAACACGTTAAAATTTCGAGTGTGATCGATATAATCCCCTTACAGGCGAAAGGGTATTGACCTACTTCAGTTTGATTTGCTAGCGCCGCATTATAAAACAAGCGATAATAAGTCCATTTGTAAGTGCCATAAGTTTGCTCGGTGTTTGCATCATTTTCTAGAAAGAACGTTAATATAGTATCCACACACGAAGTATATTACGCTCTGTTTAATTTCTATAATGGGGCCGTCAGAAGAAAAAAACTGTTCCATTAATGATAGGAACAGAGAGAAACAGTTGGCATTTGCAGAAGTGGGTCTACACGTATCGATAAATCTATGGGAAAATATGCTGAGTGAGAATAGCATTGTTCTTATGATCTCGATTTAACAATGCTATTCAATTCTAGCAAATATTTACCAAGCCTTCTCACAATTAATAAAAATCTTTTCTGTTACAATTAGCTGCAGGGTATTCTAAAGCAACAGAACCGATAACCAAGGATAAAACAGAGCAAGTTTCATACCGCGTCTGAATTGCAGCCATTAAGCTCTTGCACCGTAACGTGTCGTACTCGTGATGATAATTTCATACGTAATTTACTAAATACGAATCTTATCCATTCCTTCCAAAAATCGAAACAAAATTTGGTTCTCCTGTTATCGAAATTTAAGAATGAAATGAAATGTGTTAGAGTTACAGCAAATTCTCTCCAATTGTCCCTTAGCTTGATTATTAGCCGATTATTCAAACATCGCGAGGTGCGAGATTCGAATAATCGTATCTCCTCTTCGCAAATTGTCCGCGTTTGTTTACAAGTTGAAGGACAATTGAGGAGAATTTACTGAATTTCTCTCTCTCTCTCTCTCTCTCTCTCTCTCTCTCTCTCTCTCTCATGCGATGTCGGCGACTATAAAGGCGATCCGCGAGGCTCGTAAAATCGTGTCTTACCATTGTCACACCAGTCGGTTATGATTTCGACTCCGCCTCTTTTAGGAAGACAATGACCGTCCTCCGAGAGTTAATGGCCAAACGTCGGTCCATGAGCATTCCGCGCATCGAGATCGCCGAAACACGGAAGAAATGTCGAAGAAAATTGTGTTTCCCTCTCGAGAGTCTCGCATCGATCGTATTTCGCGAGGCATCCCCGGTGGTTTACGTTCCATCACGATCGTTTTCCACCGATATCGAGTAACGCGATTTCGAGAATAAGACGAGCGAACGAAGACTCCCGGCCTAGCGCGCGCGCGCGGAAGAAATCGGAGAGGATTTAGCCCGATAATCGTGATTAATCGCGACAGATTCGAGGGGGCCAACGCGAGAGATATCGCGATCCTGGAAACGCAGTCGACCGGCTAACGACCCGTCGGCACTTCCTCCGCTTCTTTTTTCGTGGCCCTGGCTGCGCAGCCCTGTGCACACGGTCAGACAGAGAAAGAGATCCATAACTTTCTATAACTATTCGCGGGGATTTTTCGCCGGCGCCACGGCCCTTCTCGCGTAGCCAATTACGCGGGTCGCGTTGCGTTTGATTCACGATCGTCCGCGCTCGCGCTCGCGCACGGTTGATATAATCGAGCCTGGATCGCGATTAATTTAACGATCGGGGAAAGCGAGGTGCGTACGCGTGGGCGCGGGGACACGATCTATCCCGGCATTCGATACGTCGAGGTTGAAGCGGCGAAGTTCGCGGAGCCGGAGAGACGGTCCACGGACTCCATTAGCCTCGTTAAGCGTTAACGCTTCGCGGGCAACGATGGCCCGTAATGGCTACCTGGACCGAGGCTAATGGAACACCGGTAGAAAGCGGATTTTCCTGCAGCCTCGATTCTGTCGCACGCATTAATATCTATTGTGATTACTTTCGCCGCCGGGCCACGCCGATTCCGGATTCATTATATTCGTCGCGAAACGGCCGGCCCGCGAAAAGCGACGGTTCATGACGCTCGCTGCCGTGACTGAAACTGTTTCGCTGACTTTGCTCCACCGATATACTGTACTACTACTACTACTACTACTATACAACAAAACTTTTTGCTGAAAATGCTACCTACTTCTGCTTGATCCTCTTATTGCTTCGTGTAAGTGCGAAGTCTCGTACTGATTTATCGAAGTCGTCGAATTTAATTTCGGTTCTAACAGCAACACGTTACAAGTATCTTCTACTGTCGTTTGTTTTTCATATTTAAGAAGGTTGTGCATCGCGACTCTTAAAAATGAGTGGGTTAGGCGATTCTAACTCATACGCGACTTGTTCGAATATTTCGACGTATGTCTAAGACATTTCGATGTGTTGGAAGAACAAGTGAAATAAGTTGTAAAGTTACTATTCAGTAACTGATCCCTAAATTATCAGAGCAATAAATTTGGTCAGTAAACCGTACACGTGTTGGTAGACAATAACACTACTTGTTGCTGTGAGAGACAATGAAAAAAATGTGATCTTTGTGTGACTGTTACCTTGGACTCTCAAATCTTGTTCGAAGTAGATTCACAATTTTTTAATTTCCAACGGTGTTTATAGAAGTGTACTATATGCACTATAATACAATATTTTTAATGCACTATAATGCAATATCGAAGGACATAATAATTAGAATGAAAGTACAAAAGCCATTAAAAATTTATTAATTAAGTGTAAGCTAAGTCAATAAATTTAGCTGCAATAAGATGACAATTAAAGAAGTTGAATGAGTGGAATACACGGCCTGGGTCATGCACACGCGGAAAACTATATAGAAAGTTTAAAAACAGTAAATTCGTTGTTATTTACATGTAGATATTCACTGGTTTCATATTCATAAATTATTTTAAACCCACATGAAAATTTGAACGATCCGGTTAAATTACTTTAGCAATCTACAATGATGTACGTAAAGATTGCATCCTTAAAGTTTCAAGCAGAAATACGAAACAGCAAGTCGTATCACATGAAATCAGAGTCGAAACAATATAATTTCAGTAACTTTTAACGACATTACCAAGGGGTCAACTGGAATATTCAATGTTTATAAACGCGAGTGATTTTTTTTTTAATCTGTATCAAAACCATGGATTTTTATAAATGTGATTTGATTGCACGATGATTAGCGGTGACGAATGAACCTGACGTATCATAACTATCGATTCGATTTGCTCGCTGATTACGATTTACTCGCCTCGCCTGAATCACGTAAGTTATTAATAATTATTGGAACCACAGGATTTGTAACTCGTAACCGAATCCGATATTGCACGCCAATCTTCATCGAGTACCGCATAATCTAATTACAGTTTGATGAACTCTAATTCGCGCGAACCGAAATCGTGGAAAAATTGCTCGATTCGTCAAAAGTTTTAGCATATTAAAAAGAGCCTGGAGGTTTATTATGTATACAATTTCAAGTCCGCAATTTTAGTACACAATATGGATGTAAGTTGGACGAATTACTATAATTGGAATGCAAACCTCGAATAGGAGTTTATGTTACATTTTGGTCGTTTAGTTAACAGTACAGCGTGATTCTACAGTTTCTGTGCGTCATTTCAGTGTATATACTAGTTGCAAAGATTCTGCCAGTGGTCGATGTTAAATTAAAACAAAATTAAACCCTTTAAATGTTCGAAAATATGTAGGAGAAACGTAGTTAGTTATGATTTTATATTGTATTGTAATTAAAATGCATGTGAGAGAAATACATACATTCTTTTATGAAGGAGTTGTGTGCATTGCTGTTATTAATTATTTTGTTTCATTGTAACAAATATTGGAATAAAATATATCACTGTGGTCTTCAGCTGATTTGATGATTCCTATTCGAAGCTACCATTTAATCATGATTCGGCTAATCTTTACTTTACGGGTCCAGGGATTTTTGGCTCTTTTATGTATATTCCCGTAGATTTTTTTCGTCGATAAGACACACAAAATTCAAGTTCCAAGGTGCGCAAACCATTGGTTCAAAAGTTATACGCATTCAAAGTTGACGAATTTCAAGCGTTTTTGATATGTTAGCGCGACGCCATAGTGGTGCGTACTTCGTTCGGAGACGTATAGTCCTCACGCGAGAAGAAGGCACTTCTATGTTTACATTCCCCCTCTTACTAGCTGTCCCACTGCAGCAGCTGTCGGTCGCTATTGGCCGAAGACAGTGACGGAGATCGCCGTCGGCGAATAGCGACCGATAGCTGCGGCAGTGGGACAGCAAGTAAGAGGGGGAATGTAAACACAAAGGAGCCTTCTTGTTGCGTGAGAACTATAGCTCCACGGGTGGCGGTGCTAGATGACACCACAAATATCAAAGAAATTCCTCACAAAAACCGCTAGATAACAGCAAAAGCATAGATGAGTAGCCATTTTGGTATCATAATTCGAATGCTCCATATTTTATTGGGCTGATCTGTACTTTAAGGATTAAAATTAGGCTTAGTTTGCGTCATCTTTAAACGTGTACAATTTCTGAACCAATGGTTTGCGCACCTTGGGACTCGAATTTTTTGTGTTTTCTTGACAAAATCTGCGAAAATATATATAAAAGAGCCAAAAATCTCTGGACCCGTAAAGTAAAGTTTAATTTAAAAATTACTGAAATTACTTTAAATTTATCTAATCGACAATATGGGCAAGATGTAGATTCGAGAAACACAGTTGTTAATTACAGTGCTGCGCCGTTAAACGAGGAAAGGAGAAGACAAATATATACATAAGCGTGTTATAAATTTAGTCGCAGGAAAGCTCGTGCGACAGCATCGGGCAAAAAGACAAAAAACGCGGATTATTTGCACGGTGTCGGGAGCCGGCAGTCCGGCACGAAAGGTTAAAGGCCGCGGTGGAAGAGTCAGATGTCGCCTATGGAAGGATCAGGCGATACTGAAAAGTGAGCAGCAAGGGGATAACGAGTGTACAAGGTTGGCCTAATGAAACAGGCGGTACCGTTCGAGCAGCTCTCCGCGCTTCTTCGATCGAATAGATAAAGGGAGTATCGTGCACTGACCTTCTTCAGATGACCCTCCTTGGTGCCCACGAAGACGACGGTATAGTCACCGGTCGAGGTAGCTGCGACCGCGGTCAGACGGGTCTTGAAGGTGAGGACTGGAGTACCTTCGACCGCATCCTCGCCACCCAAAGGTGTGTTCACGTCCAGCCCGCAGAAGTCCTCGCCAATAGTCTGCAATTTCTATAAGAAAAACGAAATCGAATCAGAAGTTAATCAAATGTCTCCACTGTATTAACATTATAAAATCGCTGCAGCATTAACACATGCTTACTAAATTACTTTATTGAGTGCGATAAAAAAATATTTTATAACAAATTTAGGACTGTAGAATTAATTCCCGCCACAAGAACGGGTCATAATAAGTTTGTTGCATTGTTATATATATACGATAATTAACACTTTATCGTCCGGTCGTGGTTGAGGCTGCCACTCAGTAAGGACTGGCTTAGTCGCGCGCGCATTTGCTCCCAGTACCGGCTAAATTTTCGCTATTCATTGTGTTGTGCTTATTCCTTTAAAAATAATAATAAATAATAATATAATTATTATAATTATAATTCATAAGGATATGGGGAGGTCAGCATACAGGAGGTCAGCTACTAACAAAACAGCAAAGAAGCGAAAACCGTCGATAGCTAAAAGTCGATTAATAGGCTATCGGTCGATAAGCATTGGCAATCGA